TTTTTTTTTTTTTTTTTTTTTTTTTTTTTTGGTTTTTTTCTGGTACCGGGAACCGAACTCAGGACCTTGTGCTTGCCAGGCAGGCTCTTTGCCACTGAGCTAAATCCCTAGCCCCAATTATACCTTAATAAGGTTGCTTAAAATATACTTCTGAATGCTGAGTGTAGAACCCTCTGTGATAAAGTAAGAATATAATCAAGGAGACCATATAGTGGTTTTGTATGAAAAGAAATCCCTTGAATCAGTTCAGAAGTAGGAGACATGAACAGAAGTAACTAGATTTATCACATATTGGAAAATAAAATTCACAGAACTTGACAAATATTCTACATTTTCCAAAGATAAGTTCATTCTGGTTTTCCAGAGGAAAAAAAGGGAATATTCCATTAACAAAATTGGCTTGAAGTTGTAGAGGAAGCCCATAGTAGAAATTTGACCACAACTAGACTGCCCTGAGAGGATACCACTGATAATGCTAAAAAAAAATTGCAAAGAAGAAGAGGAGAAAGAAAAGATGAAAGAAGAAATCTGATATACAGACTGAATTTATGCAATACTAGTCAATAGCTGTCTCTTTATCTTAACAGCAATGTGAGGAAAATAAGATTTGAGATGGTGGGATGACAGTTTAAAATTCAAATAAAGGCTATTGTTGCTGACACACACCTGTAATCCCAACATCCTGAGGCAGGAAGATCACAAGTTAGAGACTAGTCTGTCCAACTTAGTGATTTAGTGAGACCCTGTTTCAAAGTTTTAAAGAAGTTCTGGGAATATAGTTCAGTGCAAAAACCCTAGCACTCCAATCAGTGGATCGGTCAGTAAGTCAATCAAATATATGCCCATACCATGCTTACAGTAATTAGCTTTCCTGATATAATTGTTGATAGTCGGTTCCACTTTGAAAAGAGTGATTCTTCATATTTTTAGAAGCTTTCCTATTAAAAAAATTTGCTCTAGGTGCATATCTCTTAATTTTGTATCATGTTTCTGAGGGAAAAATCAATTAGCCACAATTTTCTGATGAGGAAACTCTGAAGACAATTTTGGTGCTGTGAAGGCAACAAACTTTAGAATCCTTCTAATCTGGATTTGAATGTCTCTTGGACTGCCATTTCTTCAAAGGGTAACCTTAGAGAACTGTTTCTCATGTCAATTTATTTTATATATTTATTTTGTGATATTGGGGATTGAATTCCTGGTCTTTGACTAAGCTACATTCCCAGCCTTTTTTGAGACAAGCTCTCACTATGTAAGTCATTAAGTTGCACAGGCTGGGCTCAAATTGTGACCCTCTTGCCTCAGTCTCCCAATATTACAGCCGTGTGCCTCCATGCCTGCCTAAGACTCATTTTTAAAATATCTTATAAGTCTTATAAGACTGCTTCTTTAGCATAATGAGTCATCTGTGAGATACCTCACCAAAAAAAGAAGGTATGATTGAGATATGCTCTGGTTGAGCTGCAACCATTAAAATCTCAGCAGATGAGATTTCAGCTCCTTTAAGTGAAAAGGTCTTATCAGGTCTTTGTGTTCTAGAAGGTTCATTTATAGCCATTTCCCAGGTGCCTACACGATTGATGAGTCTAGCTAATATAGCAATGGGGTAGAATACTGGTTTAAGGTTTTCTAATGTGGTACACAAGAACAAATTATGTCCTTACTTCAACTAATTCATCTGTAAAATAGAACTGATCATACTCTTTCTTGCCTCTAGGTTTGAGTTACCTCATTTGCTTAAGGTTAGTAAAGGTCCGTGATGTTTTGCTGTGCCACAATAAATAAAGCTATAATTCTTTTTCATCTGTAAAAGCCTGTAAAATATGGAACAGTCTCAGACGAAAATCTCTACGTGCCATTTGGGACACAGGGTCCCTGTGCAAATGCAGAGATGTAAGAAATCTAAAAGCTTGAGAGGCCCAAGACTTTCCTAGTAAGACACTACCTTTCCTTTCCCATTTGCCACTTCAACTTTACACAGGAACTATGGGAACTTCTCCATAAACCAGCCATATATCGGTTGCATTTCTTGGGTCGGACCCTTAGAAAACTTAAAATATGCAAAGACAGCCTAGAAATCCTCTAGCTTGTACACAAGTAAATGTTTGCAAAGGTCTGGATAAAAACAAGGACAAATGTTTACAGGACAAGTGTTTCTGGTGGTTGTGTATTTGCCTGCCTGTCTGGATGAGTTTATCTTTTGTGAGTTTGGATAGGTGAGAAATGCTGTTTAGAGGCTATTCCCGACAGAAAAAGCGAACAGAGAATGGAGTAGAAATGAACTCTGGTTGCTGGGTTTGAGGGCTCCTAGAACAAGTGGTACCTTGCCAACAGGTCCAATTTTCTCCTTTGCAGGAATCTCAAAGGTTTTACTAAGTATCTGCTGTCATGGCTGTAGCTTGTTCCTTAATATGGTATGTTACAGACTTTCCCTTGTGTAGCACCCTATAGGCCCTGAAAAGAACCTCTGGCAGACATTAGTAAGCACTCCAACCTGCTCCCTCCTCAAGCGTCTGTTTTGGGATTGGCCTTTGGGATCAAATCTGTTGAGTGCTGGTCTTCTGGTGGCCCTATCTTTAAAATAAAGCTCCAGGCTAAAGCTCCCGCTCTGGTGCCTAAAGTGTAGGGTCTTCTAGGGCTTGAGCGAGCCTCTCAGTCCCTTACCCACACTGAGCCAGCACTTGTTTCTCCAAAGCCACACAGTGCGAGCTTGCGTTGAGGGGAGGAGAGAAAAGGAAAGGGGAGGGAGGGAGAAAGGAGGTGGGAAGCCAAGGAGGCCCGCCTGGCGGGGGCGGGACTGACTCGCAAACTGTTGCATTTGCTCTCCACCTCCCAGCGCCCCCTCGGAGATCCCAGGGAGTCAGCCTGCTGAGAGAGCCCGAGGGTCCGGAGCAAGCCTGGAGGCGGAGGAGGCGAGTGAGGGAAAAAGATCGAGCAAGCCGCTCCGTTGCTGAACAGGAACCGAAGGAACGCACAGCGCCAGCCCTGCTCGGCTCTGACTGCTGCCAAAGCCTGTTGCCGAGCGGCGGCTTGGAAGCCGCCGCCCCGGAGCTGCCCTTTCCTTTTCGGTGAAGTTTCTAAAAGCTGCTAGAGACTAGGAGGAAGCCAGGAAAGTGCTGGGTAGGACTGACCGCTGCCTTTGTCCTCCTCTCCTCCACCCCCACCCCTGTCTCCACTCCCACAACTGCCTCTGCCCGCTATTCTCCGTCTGCCCCCACCTCTCCCTTTCACCCCTGTCTGCACAGCGCTGCCCTCCGGTTTGCAGAGGGGTTACTCCCTTAGGCTGAGAGCTGGTGAGCTAGCTGCACGTTGCAAAGAAGGCTCTTGGGAACCTGGAGATTGGGGAGCGGCTAGGGCTTCAGCGCTGCAGTCAGGACCTGGCTCATTAAGCAGCACGCAGGGAGTGCCCCTTTTACACTCCCTCTCCACCTCCTCCTGCCTCCTCCAACCCCCACTCAAGAGTGCGGAGCCAAAAATCAAAAGATGAAAAGACTCTCAGGGCTTCAGTAGTTTTACTCAAAACAAAACCAAAAGAAAATAACCCAATTATTATTTGCACCTGCTGCCCTGGACATTGAATCTGGAAGGCACAGGACCCTCTCCCCCAATTTTTGAGCATCTTTTGACTCTACCCTTTAAGTATCCAGAGACAGACTGAGAGCCTAAGCAGGGCTGATTCTGCCCAATTCGTGTGTTCCTCTGCAGGAGACTTTGAGGCTCTCCGAGCACTTTTTGCTTCTTTTGTTTTTGCTTTTGTTTTGGTTTGGTCTTTTTTTTTTCGGTTTTCGTTTTCGTTTTTGGTGTTTTTTTTTTTGTTTGTTTTTCTCCCCTGCAAGTTTTCTTCTCCGGAGCTTTCCGCAGGTGGGCAGCTAGCTGCGGCGACTGCATCATCGCAGCCTGTTGAACTCTTCTGACCAAGGAAAGGGGAGCGAGGGTAAGGAAATTAGATCAAAAATTCAGCCAAGCTCTAGGATGGAGGTACAGTTAGGGCTGGGGAGGGTCTATCCCCGGCCGCAGTCTAAGACCTTCCGAGGAGCTTTCCAAAATTTGTTCCAGAGCGTGCGCGAAGTGATCCAGACCCCGGGGCCCCGGCACCTTGAGGCCGATAACGCAGCACCTCTCGGCGCCCATTTGCAGCAGACCAGCCCCCGGCAGCCACAGCAGGGTGAGGATGGCTCTCCCCAAGCTCACATCAGAGCCCCCACAGGCTACCTGGCCCTGGAGGAAGAACAGCAGCCTTCACAACAGCAGTCAGCCTCTGAGGGCCACCCTGAGAGGGGCTGTCTCTCAGAGCCTGGAACCTCCGCGCCAGCCGGCAAGGGGTTGCCGCCGCAGCCGCCAGCACCTCCGGACGAGGATGACTCAGCTGCCCCATCCACGTTGTCTCTGCTGGGCCCCACTTTCCCCAGTTTAAGGAGCTGCTCCGCGGACCTTAAAGACATCCTGAGCGAAGCCAGCACCATGCAGCTTCTTCAGCAGCAGCCTCAGCCTCAGCCTCAGCCTCAGCCTCAGCAGCAGCAACAGCAGCAGCAGCAGCTGGAAGTGGTATCTGAAACCAGCAGCGGGAGAGCAAGAGAGGCAGTTGGGGCTGCCACCTCTTCCAAGGACAGTTACCTAGGGGTCAATTCAACCATATCTGACAGCGCCAAGGAGTTGTGTAAGGCAGTGTCTGTGTCCATGGGCTTGGGTGTGGAGGCACTGGAGCATCTAAGTCCTGGGGAACAGCTTCGGGGAGACTGCATGTACGCTCCGCTCCTGGGAGGTCCACCTGCTGTGCGACACACTCACTGTGCCCCGATGGCCGAATGCAAAGGTTCTCTGCTGAATGACAGCCCAGGCAAGGGCACTGAAGAGACTGTTGACTATTCCTCTTTCAAGGGAGGTTACTCCAAAGGACTAGACGGTGAAAGTCTGGGCTGCTCTGGCAGCAGCGAGGCAGGGAGCTCTGGGACACTTGAACTGCCTTCCACCCTGTCTCTCTACAAGTCTGGAGCACTGGACGAAGCAGCATCATACCAGAGTCGCGACTACTACAACTTTCCGCTGCCGCTGGCCGGGCCTCCACCCCCTCCACCGCCTCCCCATCCACACGCCCGCATCAAGCTGGAGAACCCGATGGACTACAGCAGCGCCTGGGTGGCCGCAGCTGCGCAGTGCCGCTATGGAGACCTGGCAAGCCTGCATGGTGGGGGTGCCGCAGGACCCAGCTCCGGGTCACCCTCAGCCACTGCCTCATCTTCCTGGCACACTCTTTTCACAGCTGAAGAAGGCCAGTTGTATGGACCCTGTGGAGCGGGTGGCGGCGGCAGCGCGGGAGAGGCAGGGGCTGTAGCCCCCTATGGTTACTCTCGGCCACCTCAGGGGCTGGCGGGTCAGGAAGGCGATTTCCCTGCAACCGATGTGTGGTACCCCGGTGGCGTGTCCAGTAGAGTGCCTTATCACAGTCCCAGTTGTGTCAAAAGCGAGATGGGACCCTGGATGGAGAGCTACTCCGGACCTTATGGAGACATGCGGTAAGTTTCTCTTTCCAGAAATTTAGCTTTTAGGCCCAGGGCACATAGTAGCTTTGCGTTCTTGGGAAGCTAGTCTCTAGCCACTTCCTCCAGCGAACATTTAGACTGACTCGATCTCAGCCCAGTTCTATAGGAAAGGCTGCCCTAAATCTAAAGCCATTCCTGGGACTTTCGGCCTGCCAACGTTTTAACCACAGGGTTCCGAGTCCTTGCTGCTCGCCCTAGGCGCTGGTCAGTGCCCTTTCAAATTCCAACTCCCCCAGCAGCCTGAGATCCTCTCTACCTCCTCGCACTCCGGTCTCGCGGGCTCCAAACTTGATTGCACGGATCACTTTCAGAGGTGAAGCATGTAAGCCCTCCGCTACTTTTTTTATTTCCCATCTCAAAGTCTTAGAACCTCGATCGGAAATATGGGCAATTTATCCTCTTTGGCTCTACTATTGCTCAGTTTTCAGACCATAGCCAGTCTCTGGAAAATACTGGTCAAAAGACCATCCAAGTGGTCTTAGTCCCCGTCTCCTCCAAAGAAATAAAATGCAATTCCCGGTTAGGGAAAGAAAGTAGTTTGCGAGTGCTGAGGGGCCCTGTGTGAGGGGTGATATTCCTTCCTTGGAAGCAGCTGACAGCGTTTTCCATCCAGGCCTGGAGGTCAGTGGGCAGAATCCAACCAGGCACATTTAGAGCAGGTAGCGGAGCAAATTTCTTGGTAAAGCCTGGGGAAGCTTTGCCACTACAACTTTCTCATTGTTGGTTGACTAAGTTGGAAGCAGTTGCTTGGCTCTGTTTTCTCTTGCAAAGTGTTTATTCTAGCTGTGTATCATAACAAATACATAGCCCTCTACTTCAGGTTTGCAGCAGATACACAAGAAGAAGAATGCTCTTTTAATGAAAATTTGGTCAGATTTGAATCTAATTTCTGAAAGTGTTCGGAGAAAATGCTGTATTTCCAGCTATACTAGTGTGCTCCCAAATCTGTACCGGGGAGGGAAGAGTGAGGCACTTCATTATATTCCTTCATTTTAAGGACATGTCTACATTTTAAAAACATCAGTTGGTGGTGGTAACAAATGGAGTAAGAACTGCATGTGACCTATGAGCCATAATCTTGCCCCAGAGTTTTAATTAGGGCATGAGAAATGTGGCCAGCAATTTCATCTTGCTTATTAAAAATTCTTCCTTACTGCAGTTTTTGAGTTTCTTAGAGAACATGTTGAAGATTTGTTTCTCAGCAAGTTAAGATATTCATTTATCTGGTGAGAAAGAGTATTTACTAGAGAATTACTCAGGTGGCAGATCAGGTGGTAAGGACCACATGGACTTGTATCTTATTCTACGTTCCCGTAGTTATTTTCTTTTAAAGTGACTGTTTCAAAATTTGTGTCCCTTAACATACTTGTTTGCTGACTTAAAACCTAACAATTTTCCTCCTTTAATTTGTCCTTCTGTTCTTTGAGGATGTCAGAAATGTTAGAAAAGACAGAGGACGGTATGATTTCATAAAATAATATTTTCCTGATGTAGGAGAAATAGCTTCGTCTTAGGCTTCACCTTCTATTAGGCTTTTATGATTTGGCTTACAGGATTTTCAAAGGGTTCTTTTCAATATTGTCAAAGTCTTTTCCAGTGAATTTAGAGTATTTATTTTGCAATGGGTTATACTGGGATATAAAAAGTCTTCATTTTATGAGAACAGATTTACTTGGTAGGGTTACTTTTTTTTTTATATGGTGGTCACTTGAATGAAGTCCCTCTTCTAATCTGGGGGGAAATGTCTAAAGTGTTTCTTGACCTACCGTGATGCTAAACCCAGTCACTGGAAACTTTCATCTTCTGCATGTCCTACTACTTAATTTGCAGAGAGGAAACTGTTGTTTGCTTAGGAATATGTGCCTTCCAAATTATAGCCGAAATTTCGACCAAGCAGCTATAGAGAGCAAAAAGTTCTTTCAGTCACATTTATGGTAAGCTTGGTGATTTTATTCTAAGAATTAACAGAATACACTTTTCTATCAGGAAGACCATCTTAGCTTGATTCTTCCTTGACACTGTTCAACTAGTGAGAATTTAGCAATTCTCAAAGAAAGTACAGGATTATTTCATTTTTCCTGGTTTGTGATCGCTGAGCTGGATGTGAAGAGTCTAGCAAAAGATAAAACTGATGTTTCTGTTGTATGAGTTGACAATTTCTGTTTCTAGGATACACAAAATCTTTGAGTAAGTTTATTAAAAATTAATCAATTTAATCAGGATGCAATCAGTTCCATGCTAAAAGTTGAAATATTGTTTTACTTTTTCCTTCCCTTTTTAGGAGCAGTTTGTTGAAAAGCAGTAGATTTTTTTTAAGCCCAAACCAAAGCTTCCTCCCTCTCTATATTGCATGCATTAATTCTAGAGGCTTCCAAAAACCTCCTGAGTTCCTTCATTTTCCAATTGTGTGACTATGTTCATGCACATTAGTCAATTGGTGGAGGGATGTTTTAAAACATTAGTAATTTCTCCAATAACTCTGTGTTCTTACAGGTCAATAACGTTTCTGCAGAGAGCAGGACAGAAGCCCAAGGTGGTCCTAGTTTTACTTAACTTAGAATGTGTTTTGAACAGAAGGAATAATAAAAAATGATGGGGCTTCGTTGCAACCCTGATGGTATTTTATGGAGCTGTCTTCTTGCAGAGATCAAAGACTGACCTTAATTGACTGCTTGCCCCCTTGAGAGAATTAAAGCCCCTTACATCTCAGTGAGCAGCACAAATAATATGGCAAAGATTTATTCTTGAAATTTGGGGCTCAAGGGAGCCCATGTAGGAATAAGAGTTGGGATTTAGAGTAATTTTTCAAATGTGAAAAGACATGTTTTCTTTTAGTAGTGTGTGGTAGTCTGCTTAAATAAATAATATTTTAGTAGTGTTTTGAGCTTGGCAAGTCCTGCCTTAAGCTATTATTTTTTTCAAGATATGGCATTTTATTAATTCCTCTTTTTATCTCCACTCCATTCCCCAGTTATCAAGCAACTTTTTTTAAGAGCACATTAAAAGGAGTAGTTTGTTTTGTAAAGCAAAATTTTACTTTGGGATGAAGACAGACTAAGGGTTTCTGTGGGTAGGCTTTGAGGTCACTATGTTAGGAAAAAGCATCCTTTCTCTGTGGTTAGCAAACGGTTGGTGAGTTCTGTCTGGATCTCAGTAATAAAAATTTGAAGACCAAATAATCACACTGAGTTGCAGTCCCCATTTGTAACTATCCATAGGGTGTAACCCTGGAAAAGCCCTCTTGCTTGTTCATATCTATCTTCCAGCTCTGCAAAGATAAACATCTGTGGGAGATGTTTTCAAAGAAGCTTGCAGCCTTCCAAACGCAGGGTCACTTTGGAGAGCTTCCTTACCAGCAATAATTTTTCCTCATCAGACTTTCATTCTTTAAGCTGTAAATTTTGAAATAATATATCGAATTTTCTGGCACATTTAATTTCCTTGTTAACTGTTTTTCTTTGCTGTAGTAATTTTCTCATCTGGTGAATATCTATGTACCTAAACGAAACAAAATCTTTGGTTTTTTGATTCATACATGTACAGTGGCTATTCTTGATAGGATCATGTGAGTTGGGTGTGGATAACTTTATTATTATTACTAATGTTGATATCATGAAAACCAGTTTCATTCACAGCTCTGCTCAGGCAGGGAGCAGAATGTGGGCTGTGTCACACTGCAAGGGGTTTATTTTACAGCCAAGCCTGAAATCATGATTCTGAAAATCATAAATCCAATAGAAAAATCAAGTTTTGTGAGGTTGGTCAGAGAGAGAAAAGAAAATCTTCCCCCACCCCCACCCACCACCATTTTCTCTTAGTCTGCAGCTTCCTTAAGTACTGCTTATCCCAAATTTTCCCTTATTTTTAAGATTATAACATTGAAATACTCTTCTTTCTATTCTCAAGATATTTTTTTCTCATTAGACCTGTGGCATATTCCTGACTTTTTTCTTTAAAAAAAATTTGGATGGTAACAGATCAGATCAACTACAGCACCTTTTGCTGAAGACTTGAGGGCATTGCAATGTGAATAGCAGAACTTTTTTTACCTTGAGGTTAGAGGCTGATTCAGTAGTTGCAGAGGAAGCTAAACTGGATAGCTTGAGGACTTAGAAATTTAATGAAGTATTTTGCAGCATACTGACTATCTTTCTTTTGATTCCTGTCCCTTTCTGTGTACTGTTCCTATCGATAAGGATAACCTTCTCTCAGGCCCTGAGAATAATGGGACCCTTTTCCCTTCCACACTGCTCTGTCTGGGTCAGAAATGAGCGTGCACTAGCAGCATCTAATATGCATGTGAGGGTGCTCACTGATGTGTTCTGTTGGAATGACCTGCTCAGGGTACATGTAAATTAATCATTTGAAAACTAAGAGAAACATTGAAGAAATTATTCTACTTTAGTATTTCCCTACCAGCATTCCACCAAGTTTTGGGATGTTGATTCAGATTAAGTTATCCTCATCCTATACAGAGCTGACTTTTGTTTTTATTGTAAAGTTCTGTACAGTAACCAACATTGGTTGTACTTCATCATAGGAAAGCAACTTATGAAATCTTAAAGCTATATGGCACATTTTTCAGAAAAATGTCTCAGCATTTTCCAGTTTATTTACAAGTACTCTTGAAAGTTTGAGTAGACTAGGGTGAGTTGTAATTGAGGGAACAGAAGCAGTTGTATTTCTATGATGTTCACTTCCCATCCGGGGAAACTTCTCCAGAGCAGAACTTCCAGCTTTTTCTTCTGGAATCTTCCCACTTGACTGTAATAATAATTTACTCAATAAGGGCTACATTCAATAATTTCTTCAAAAGTGATAATATGTGAATTATTGCTTGCATTCTTATGAGTGATACCACCACTTTATTCTCATACTGATTTCTGCTTCCAATCTGCAGTCCACATCAGGGTTAAAGGTGGCTCATTTAGAAAAGTTTATAGCATTAAAGTTCTGGTCACCGGAGAGCGCTG